TTTCTCCCTCCCCTCTCCTACCCTCTCTCCTGTCCTCTCCCGCCTCCTTTCCCCCGTCTCCCCACAGTTTCATTCCCCCTCCCCAGTTGTGTTCAATAAAGAGAGTTGTTATTTTTGAAAATACGCGTCTTTTATTTGACATCAGGAAGGGCGGGATAGGGAAGGGTAAGTGGAAGGAGGAGAGGGGGGAATGGGGCACAAACCCACAGTGGGGCAGACCAGGGAGACTGTTAGCACTCCTCAGGGTGGAAGCTCTCCTGCAGGGCCCCCTGGATCCTGACAACCCCTCGATGGTCCTCCCGGATGGCAGCCTGCAGACAGTGCAGCCAGGCTGCTGTCAACGTGTCCGCGAGAAGCAGCAGAGTCCCCGGGGGCAGGTCTGGTTCCATGTTTGGCAACATGTCCACGAGGTGCAGCAGAGTCCCTGGGGGCAGGTCTGGCTCCATGTTGCAGAGTGACGTGGTGCCCCGAGTGAGGGCAAGCAGGGCAATCTGAGACACAAATGCTTTGCTGTCCCTCAGCGAGGTAGACCAGCAAGCAGAGAAAGCTGAGAACTGACTGTCGGAGATGGGGGGTTGGGTCCCTTTAAGCACAGACCTCGGCTAGCCTGAGGCAGCAGCCCCCCACACTAAGTCCGACCCTGATGCCCTGCTGGCTCTGGTTCTGGCCAGCCTTACCTTCGATTCAGGGTCCACTCAATGTGAACGTGTTATTTCGAAATAGAAGAATGCTATTTCGAATTAGTTTTTGTGTCTAGATGTGTTATTTTGAATTAGCTTAATTAATGCTGTAGTGTAGACATACCCTTGGTCTCTTAACCACCACCTTCTCCCTTTACCTTCCAATCTCCTACTTTCTTCTGAGGAGATAGGAGTGATTCTTCTAGACTCCCTCCATCTGTTTTTAATGCTCTGGATTTTTTTCTCTCATAGTCATCAGGTGATTTTATGAACATGTGATGTCATTAGCTGTGATGTCATTAGCTAATCTATAGGTGGCTGAAGACAAAAAATATCATAGTATCCTATAAAGAGCATCAAAAGCAGGGTTTTCAGGCTGTGTTTCACAGTCTGAAACGATTAGACATTGCCCTTGTTTTAATGACCCTTTATAGCCAGCCAGGAAATAAGCAGTGGAAGAAGTCTCATCTTTCCCCACTGAATAGAGGAAAGTCATCTGTGTTGGAAAGTGTGGTAGCTATGTATGGATCTATAACATTGCGAAAGGTGCTTGTGTGGAGCTCTTATTATATACACTGTCAAATTTCACCTCCTTAGGTTCACCCTGTTTGGGTGGAGAAATAGATTTGAGACTAACTATAGGTAGTAATCCAGAAAAGTAGATATGTTTGCTTAGTTTTCTAAGAACTGGAACATAGGGATGGGTTAAAATGAAATATTAAAGAATTAGAAATGCTTATCATTATGTGTGTAACAAGCTTGAAGTTGAGACCGATGCAACTTCACTAGGAAACCTTCTGAGTATGGACTGAGCTTTGAAATGTTGTTTTAGAGGCTCCAATTTACTGCACAGTAAGCAGCATGTTTACTAAACATCTATTTAAAAAAATGCATGAGTAGATTTGTTGCAAACTTTTAATTTTAGCACCCAAAGGCTTTAGAAAAGCTAAGAAAAGGGAAGTTGTCTCAGAGCTTAGCAGCACAATTCCTCCTAGCATTTCCTCTTAAATTGCACATTTACCTTCTGCAAAAAGTTAATGCTATTCTCTAGACTTATAATGATTTTAACTGAAAAATCTGTTTGCGTCCTACTGTGCTACCCGTTATCCAAGAGGCAACGTTTTTTCTATAGACTAATTGACTTATCAGTAAGGTGCTTGGCTTCTGCTTTGCAGGAAGTGGTTTTATTTTACTTTTGTTTTACTGTTTTCTTTCTGTCTTTATAAGTTGAGGGAAATTAAACCAATTGCACTCTTTAGACATGTGACCTAGATGTTTTCCGTTTTTAGAAATAGTTAAACTGTTGCAAGTTGATAGCAGTTTGAAAAAAGAAGACGTCCATGATTCTGTAGGTAAGAAACCTTAAATTAACTTTAATGCTATTCATGAAGAATATTGTTAAAGATGTATGATAGGAGGTACTCTTATATATCCTTTCACAGAGACAAATTTAGACACATATTTTAATATTAAATGATTTTATTCCACTTGGCATTTGCTAACTTTAGGACTATGGTATATACAACTCTGGAGTTTGCACAAAAGTATATAGTTATTATAGTCATCAAACAGCCCTTAGTTACCTTCATACAGCTGTGTAATTTAGGGCACAGTTTGGAACTTTATTGTTTAGGGCTAAACTGTTCTGAAAAGGGAGGAAGGAGAATACAAAAAGCCCTTTCCTCCCTGTGAAAGTTAATGTGCTTATTACATGTTGAAGTCATATAGTTCCACAGACTCCAGAAGCTATTGTTACATTCTTTGTACTACAGTACAAGGAGAGTCAACGGCAGTCCCTGCAGTCTAATGAGCTAAGTGACTACTCTCTCCTTGTAATGCCTCATGCTTAAACCATCCCCAAAGGGGTGAGAGATGCAAGCTTATAACTATCGTCTCACCCTATGCTGGCTGGAAAGGGAGAGAGGAGTGCATTGCACCGTTACAAAACCACACTAGTGTAATTTCCCACTGTTGAATTACTGCCATTACGGCAGCACCTGTCACATCAGCAATGGGATTGGTAATGCAGATAGAAGACAGAGTTTTTTAGGCCTACACATACAGAATAGGATGATAAAATATCTGTGCCCCATTACACTAGTGTTTCCTAACATTGTTATAACTGGTAGAACTGCTTCAGTGGAAAGACAATGGTGGGATATTTCCTGGAAGATGTTAATGTGGACAAGGTAAATTGGATGATGCAATATGCACTTTCCTTCTGTACTTAAATCTCCTCAGAGAGGGGCTGCACTTCTGGAATCAGAGTTTCTCCCAGAACTTCCCTTTGGATTGTATCATATTCCCCTTAATATAGCCCTGGGTATAAATGTCACAAACTGGCCCATAATTTTATTCAGAAAAATGATCAGCAAGAGGTACAAATGTTACAATGTTTTAATGATGGTCAGCATTCTAAGAGTTCATTTTGTGGGACAATGTAATAAAGGTTTGGTTTTGGTTAATTTGCATATTATGCAAAATTCACTCATCTAAAAAAATAGCTTTTTTTTCTGGAAATTTGGGTCATAGCTGAGAGAAATCACTCATGGTTTGAAGTTCCCTTTTGAAATTTGCATAATGACTGTATGGCATGTGGAGGATAGGCTTTTTTATCACTGTGGTGACAACTCAACGTTTCTGTGCTTCTCAAAGACAAAAGCATTCTGTGTGTACTAAAGTAGTGAAGGAAAAGACAAGTAACAGTTTATATGAAAAGAGTCTGCATTTGTCTTTTTGATATTTTTAACGTTTACTGTTGCAATTTTTTGTTCATTTTGAAATTCACTTTTTTTGGAGAGTTGCAAATTTTGTTTGAAATCATAAACTTCCTTTTTTTCTTACTTTCCCCAAGGGTAATTGAACTTAAAACATGTTTTTCCCCAGAAAAGAAAGGTTTATGCTCTGTTCTCCAGATGGAGTCTCCATCTACTCAATTACACAAAGCCTTATGCTGGTACATATGGGGTGCTTATATGGTATCTGATAGATAATCCTCTACCACATGTACAAACAGTAGCTACACTGTCTTAATATAGTTAGAAGAGAAACTATTACCATACCATCTCTAAAGTGTGGTAAATGTTGAGTTTGGGATGATGTCTTCTGTGAATTAACAAAGGGAAAATCGTAGCTTGTGTGAGAATGTGACCCCTCTTGCATGTGAATGGAGAATGGGTGGGTGAGTGGGGACTGACAGAAAACTTTGACTATGCCCTGCCCCACCCTCTACACACTATGCTGGCCAGTGCAACTAAGCTGGAGTGACGAGGGAAGAGACCAGTTAATGAGCTAGTGTAGACTACTACAATTTTGGAGAATAAAAGGGAAGTAGGAGCCAAATTGTGTCTTTGGTTTGTTCCTGGGTAAGTGCTCCTAGGTGTCCCCCACTTAGCATTACAGCCACAATCTAATCTGCATTGATTTTACACAGTTGTACCAAAGAGCTATGACTGATGCCACCATACATTATTTGTCCTCAGCTGTAAATATTAAGGGGAGAGTTCCTAGCCAAGTTTTAAGGCAGTATGCAGTCTGATAAATTCACAGTGACTCACCTCTTCATTGGTTTTTTCAAATTATGTGATTGCTACAATCTGCATAGATTTCAGAGGTGGGGAAGGCCTCTGGGCTATTGGAATCATAGGCATCTGTTGGCTGGTTGAATAGAATGTACTCAGGAATCTTTGAGGCTGACCAGCTGCAGTTCTGATCTTTCCCCAACTTGCTATAAACAAGTGTTATAGCTATGCCCTTATTGTGAGATGTTATCAGTCTCAGCTAGGAAAGGCTGCTAAATGTTTTTAGACTTGCAAAAGTATAGCTCTTCTTCCGGAAGCCTTCTTTTGATGCCAGGGTGCTTGGCTCTAGTCATGCACAGAAGAGAGCAGGCTGTCTGGGAGAGTAACCTATGTGTTATCAATGACAGATTTGAAAAACAGCATCTCTTAAACTCCTCTGTCTACTCAGCATATATATAATGTCTTTTGGGGTGATAATTTTAAAAGTGTATTTAGAGCATTGTTAGAATGCTGGTGTATCTTAGTGAAGGTTGTTTTTTCTGTTTACACTTAAACAACTTGCTTTTGTATGAAAAGTACAGTGTATTCTTCACAAATTTACAAGACTTAATCTTTGAGTTGAGAATGTACAGTTGTGTGCCCTTTGGTTTGTGGTCCCAGGAATTCATTCTCTTCACTATCTGACAGCACTTCCTGGGTGCATCAGAACCTACAGCTGTGTTTCTGGGAGAAGTTTTCTATATGAGGCAGCCTGAGTCATCTTTAAGATTTATCTTGTTAAGACAATTCATTCAGAGGCAATGAAGCAGATTAAGAATCTTGGCATAACTTCTGGCCATGCATCTTCCATGGTAAGCCAACTGCCTTACATAGTACAAAAGTGACTTTTCTAGTTGCATAATTTACCCAAATCTGTGCCCTTATATGTCCTGTGTTGACCTTGAAACAGAAGCAGATGCTGTTGTGACTATGAGGCCTAATTATAGTAATACCCTTTTAGCAAGACTTACAGCAGGGGTCTCCATTACTTCCAGCTTGTTTAGAATGCAATAGCACATATGCTTTTTGTCTGAGCAATTGCGAATATATTATACGTGCCTTGACTTCTTTAAATTAGTGACATGTTGACTGTAACTTGCCCTTAACAGTATAGGCCCTGGCTAGACTGGGGAGCTCACTGAATCTCTGTTTGACAGATTATCTGCAATCACAAAATATCCACCTTGTCGAGATGCTAGTATCAAGTGCCTTTTGCTTCAATGCGCATGAGAATTTGAAACTTGCTCCCCCTGAAATACCTCTTGGTCCATCTCTCCCTAATTTTAACAAAACATCTCAATGATTTTTTTCCAAAGATGTATTTTGGAATGACTACTGTTAGCCCTGCTACCGAGTCTCTGACCCTGGCCCAGCTACTGCAGCTGCCGTGACTGCTACGTCCTTGGCCCTGCTACAGAGGCTGCTGTGGCCTCTGTCGTGCTTCTGGGGGTCCAGTGCTGGTCTTGGTCCCAGCCCCGCTGGGTTCTGACCCACCAGCCCTCCTGCCACTGGGGCTCCTACCCAGAACTCCCTAGTCCAGGAACACCCGTGTTTCTGGATGAGGGAGTCCCAGTTTTGGGAGGTCTGACCTGTAATACATTTTCTCAACAGAATGGTCTCCCATTTGAAAGAGTTTTACCTGCAGGTAGCTGATTATAACTAAACATATTTTATTTTTGTTGTGGTAGTTCCCACGGACTTGTGTTAAACTCTGCATATTATTATATAGGTACCTAACAAATGTCTAAGTGTCACATTTAAAGAAAAGTGAATGGCAGCATCTTAGACACTAACAAAAAATGAAGATGGTATCATGAGCTTTCATGGGCACAACCATTTGTTGTTTTTTAAATTTTTTTCATTGAGGGCATGTCTACACAGCAGCGTTATTTTGGAATAATGTTAGTTATTCCGAAATAACATAGTGTACAGCAAAGCTGTTCTTTCGAAATAAATTTGAAATAACGGGCTTCTTACTCTGACTTCTGTAAACTTCATTGTCTGAGGAGTAAGGGAAGTTGGGTTAAAGAGTGCTCTATTTTGAAATAAGTGCTGTGTAGACGTGCCCAAAGATGAAATAAGCTATTTTGACAGAAGCTACGCAGTTGACATAGCTCAAGTTGCGTAGCTTGTTTCAAGTTTAGCCCTGCTGTGTAGACATGCCCTTACAGACTAGCATAGATACCCCTCTGAGACTTTTAAGTGGACATAGTCCCTATCCCATGGACATTGAAGTACTCCTGGAGTTGGGCCCGACTCTGATCTAAGATATCTGTTTTGAGCACTATTGCAATATCACAAGTGGGGGAAAAAAAGATATAAAGCAGACAAACCAAAAGAGAGCAAGCGGAAAAAACATTTTTAAGTCTGTGCTTTCTCTTGTTCTTGTAATTTTTTTTCCTACCCTAGCCAAATCGAAGCTTCTGACATATGGTGCATTTGATTGCTGAATCAGATCTCACGCACACAAACTTTTCATTATGTTGCACACAGACACTTAGCACCTGTAGCTGTTTGCCAGCTAGCCAGCATGATGATAAACTTTCTTTCTGGACAGCAGAGAAGGAACTATAACCTGTAGTTATAGTGAAGAGAGTGATCCATGACTAGGGCCACTAATAATAATAATCCAAAAGAAAATTAGTGCTGGAATCAACGTCATCATTTTATCTCTGGCACTTAGAAAATAATAATTCCATATAGTAGACCCACTCTTTTAACTAACACCACCATTTTTATGTCTCTTCTTCACTGAGAGTTGCTCTCACATGTGCACCCTATTTTTTTTGGGGGGGGGGATCTGGGTGAGAGATTGTTTTAGATCCGCATAACAGGAGATGTTATATTTTAGGTTTTTTGAAAGAAAATCAGGAGGAAGTGACAATAGGACAGTTCAAAACTCTTATGACTGCTCTTCTTGCAGGCTACGTCTACACTGGCCCATTCTTCGGAAGGGGCATGCTAATTTTGAACTTGGGAATAAGGAAATCCGTGGGGGATTTAAATATCCCCCGCGGGATTTAAATAAACATGGCCGCCGCTTTTTTTCCGGCTTGAAGTAGGAATAAGAGATCCTCCGGAAAAGGGCTTTATTCTAGAGGATCGCTCCAGTCTAGATGCTTTTTTCCGGCTTTTCCCCAAGCCGGAAAAAAAGCGGCAGCCATGTTTATTTAAATCCCACGGGGGATTTATAAATCCCCCGCGGATTTCCCTATTCCCAAGTTCAAAATTAGCATCCCCCTTCCGAAGAAGGGGCCAGTGTAGACGTAGCCGCAATGTTTTGCAGCACTGACTCTGAGTGTTCTGAGTCAGCCCAAAGAATTTGGGAACAGTGCATAACACTCCTCATTCTTGTGGTAGTCCCTTGGCCTCAGTAAAGTTTGATGTGGAGAGGATGAGGAGACTTTTAGCATAAATAATCATTTAAAGAAACTGGTCCCTTCCTTCAGTTTTCTTCCTTTTCCTATGTGGTTGTTGTCTAAGGTTCTCTAGTGTTCCAGTGATACTGGTATGAGCAGGAAGCAGAGATGTTAGCCAAAGAATCAGAAGGTCCTGCAGAGAGAGAATTGAATAAGAGTGGGAAACTTTCATTATGATTTTTATAATCCTGTTTCATTATTGCACATTTGGATCTTTGTAGCACAGTCACCTCCTGAAGGGCAGCAGGATGAGGGGTTGGCACTTCACAGAGATATGGAACACAAAATAATGCAATACTCAAAGTACAAATGAGAAGTTGTAGCTCAATATACAATGTGAACAGACTACATTTTTTTCACAGAACTGTGTATTTGCTGAGCCATGCAAAATGAAGTGCATTTCTTATACTCTGAAAATACTTAATTTTCACACAATCAATGGATAAATGCTTTCACAGCTTCCTTTTTGCATCATTACCCCATTTGCTTGTGTAGGTGCAAGGTGTGTTATTTGTTACTGTTTTGGAGGCCAAAAAAAAAGGGCTAACAACTGTGCTCAATGCTTGACTATTATGGACAATTCACTTCATAGCACCCACCCAGAGTCTTCCTTTTTCTGTTTCAAATTTTTGATTGATCTTGGAAAAAATGGTGTCTTTGGATATGTTTGTAACAGTGAAGTAGGACTGTTCATGCATTATGGTCCAGTGATTAGGACACTAACCTAGGACTTGAGAGACCCAAGTTCTATTCATATTTACTGGGTTGGCTTGAGCGAGTCTCTTAGTCTCTCTGCGTATGTCTAAACTAGCCCCCTAGTTCGAACTAGGGAGGCTAATGTAGGCATTCGAAGTTGCAAATGAAGCCCAGGATTACAATATCCCGGGCTTCATTTGAATCTTCCCGGGCGCTGCCATTTTTAATTGGCCCTTAGTCCGAACTCCGTGCCCATGGCTACACGTGGCACGGAGAAGGTAGTTTGAATTAGGATCTCTAATTCGAACTACCAGTACTCCTCGTGGAACGAAGTGTACTGGTAGTTCGAAATAGAGATCCTAATTCGAACTACCTACTCCATGCCACGTGTAGCCATGGGCACGGAGTTCGGACTAAGGGCCAATTAAAAATGGCAGCGCCCGGGAAGATTCAAATGAAGCCCGGGATATTGTAATCCTGGGCTTCATTTGCAACTTCGAATGCCTACATTAGCCTCCCTAGTTCGAACTAGGGGGCTAGTGTAGACATACCCTCTGTGCCTCTGTTTTCCTGAGTTTATAAAACCAAATTCCTCAAAAGAATGTTTTGAAGATAAATTAATTAAGTCTGAAGTGCCATCAGATATGTTGTTCAAAAACACCATAGAAGTATGGGGTATTATTATTTCTTGGTTTCTTCATATTGTAGTAAGCATGCATACAGACTTTCTGTGTCATATTCAATAGTTTGTTTGAAATAAAAATTTGGGCTCACCTACTGCATAAGGCAATCACTAAAATTATTGCTAGACAAGAAAAATAACCCATGCACAAAACTTTCATATAAATAATACTTAATATTTTAAAGACTCACCTGCTTCTAAAAAAAATACGGATTCCCCCGTTAGTTTTAGTTATAGCCAGTGATGTCAGTTAATTCAGGGCAAAAGAGACTAAACCTCGCAAATTACATCTCCTCCCTTGAACAAATCTCCTTTGGGGCAGATGCCTTTCTCTTTCGACTTTCTCTCCAGCAGCATAACGGAGGGAACCTCAGTAGTGCTGTGGGGGAAGGAAGGGCCGCCAGCCTGTAGCCCATTCAGTACAGCATTAGAATGCACTTTGGAGATTGCTGGCAGTACCCAGTCCCTTCAGTACAGCAGATCCATGGAATGCAGAAGAGACTGGGAGAGACCAGAGGGGCTTACAGATTTTGAAGATGGGGGCAGTTATGATTATAACATGTGATAGCTAGTTGGGGCTCTCTCCACTTTTGAATTTTTCTTATCCGATTAACTGGTAAATACTACAGCTGCCTTGTCTTCACTTGGATTTTAATAAGGGTAAGTTTAATGTGGGGGTAGAAACACACCCTTTTTAGAGAAGGCACAGGTATTGTCAGAATGAAACTGAAATTTGTACTATACCCTTGTACACCACAGAAAGATCTTCTTGAGCCAGTGGAAGGAAGTTTTGGGGCTTTTTTTTTTCAAATTCTTTACCTGGTGGGTCAACCTGTTGTATACTTCTAACTGCTTCACTTATTTGAAGCACTTTGGTGTTAGATGTAGAACTTTGCCAAAATTCTTATTGTCAGGTGCTTGGTTCAGGAAGGTATCTATTGTTTGGGCATTATCTGAATCTTGCCCAGATAAGCTTTGAAAAATAAGGTCTTTCTCTGAGATAACTAGCACTTCT